TAAGAGTAGGTTAGATAAATGTCTATCAGGCATGGTCTAGACGGTATTTGGCCCTGCCATGCGGGCAGGGGACTGGATTTGATGACCTCTCGAGGTCCCTTCCAGTCCTAGAATCTATGAATCTATGAATCTGCCCCCTCACTGTCCCCCCCAAGCCCCTCTGGGCCTAGCCTGGGATGGGGGGTGATTCAGAGCTCACCAGGGCCCGGACGGCGGCCCCCCTCCCACTCCTGCATTCCCACGGGCTCAGGGGAGGCAGGTCCTTGCTGTCCCGCCCCTCCATGCCCAGGCTGGGGCGCCCGTCAGAGCAGGGGCCCGGTCTGTGGGCCATTGGCGGGGAACAGTCTGGGCAGGACACAGCATGCCAGCCCAGAGCTGCCCCCCACAGGCCTCCCACCATGGGGGAGGAGGAAATGGCATCCCAAGAGCAGGCCAATGAAACAACGGCCACCAAGGATGATTTCCTGGCCATCCAATGGGCTCGAGGCCTCGGGGGAGACTGATCACCCACCAGTCCCTGGCCACCCAGACCCCCAGTAACTCCCAGAATCCCCCAGGGCGGGGAGAGGCAGTGCTGCCTAGCAGTTACACCAGCAGGTTCCACTCCCACCTCTGCCACCCACTCGCTCTCTGGCCCTGGGCACGTCACTCGTCCCTCCCGCCACCGTGGCCGAGCGATGGCGGAGCAGGTGAGCGTGGCTGGGAGTGCCCTGCCCGGCCCGGCCGTGCCCCTCACCTGTGTAGACGAATCGGCCAGGCGCTCCCTTGCAGAACTGCTTCGACTTGTAGGAGAGCGTCACCTCCACCACGCCGGGGATGTGGCGGGGCGGCGTCTGCACCCGGATGGCGTGAGGGGTGATTAGCTGCAAGGGGCAGGAGAGAGGGGGGATGAGCCCATGGGCAGTGGGGGGGGGCAGATGATGACCGGGGGGCAATGGGGGGGTGATTAAGGCCCTGATTCAGGTGCAGAGTCACTCTTCTCACCCTGCGCCCCCAGGGCTGAGCCCAGCCGGCTCCCCCGGCCTCTCAAGCTCACAGACTAGCCAGTGCAAGGACCCGTCGCTGGCCAGCCAGGGGCACGAGGAGGCCCCATCACAGCCCCCCGTCATGGGGAGCCCATCGCCAGGCCCTCTGC